AAAAATAAATATTAAAAAAAGAAGTAAATGAATGAGAGTTTCATACTTTACATTCCTACCCCTCTGTAGTTAATATTTTCACATGTATCTTTTTGGATGTATTTGTAATCCCATACAAAGGTGTGCATTTATAAAAAAAGTTTGAATACTTTTTAACAGTTACTTCTATAGCTCATAGCCGTATCTTTTGTTTCTCTTTACAGCCATTATACCTGCCCATGAGTCCTTGAGTCCTTTATAATGTCCCTTTGTGCCTCTTCTCACAAGGAGTTTTCTCAGCTGCTGCCTGTTCAAGACATGGATATCAAAAACTCGCCATCTAGCCTTAACTCTCCTGCCTCCTACAACTGCAGTCAATCTGTCCTACCCCTGGATCATGGCCCCATATATATCCCTTCCTCCTATGTAGAGAGCCATCACGAATATTCGTCCATGACATTCTATAGCCCTGCTGTGATGAATTACAGTATTTCTAGCACTTCAGATAACAACGAAAGTGGGCTTGGTCAACAGACAGCAAGCCCACATGTGTTATGGCCAACTCCTGGGCACCTGTCTCCTTTAGCAATTCACTGTCAGTCCTCACTTCTGTATGCAGAGCCTCAAAAGAGTCCTTGGTGTGAAGCAAGATCACTGGAACACACCTTACCTGTCAACAGGTAAATGTAGTCTTCATTCTGAACTGCAGTTCGTGGGCATGATGCACTTTGCTCTGTGGTTTAATGAGAAGAAAGATGTGTGTTATACAAGGTCTTTATTTTGTCACCTAGATAACTTAGAGCACCGAAAACATATGATGCCCTCATTAAAAGGTTGTGCTTGTAGATAGGTATCATGGGGAGAATTCACTATCGTGACCACTGTCTTTATGTGATGAAGATTGACCTTGAATCAGGCTGGGGTTGTGGCTCAGCAGTAGAGCACTTGCCTAGCACGTGTGAGGCCCTGGAATCGATCCTCAGTACCACATAAAAATAAACAAAATAAAGGTGTTGTGTACAACTAAAAATTTTTTAAAAATTTAAAAAAGATTGACCTTGAATCACTTTTCTCCCAATGAAGCTATTTGGGTTTGAAAAATAAATCTTCACTTTCAGGTTAGAATCTTTCTGTGAGTCACAACTTAGTGTTCAGGACAAATTGTTTCCAGGATAAAAGTAAATAACATGCTAGCCATGTGAAGGCTGAAAAGGTAATTAGTACAAGCTTTCTAAACCATGAACTAAAACAATACTTTAAGAAGTTTGGTGAGAAAATGCATAAATGTAGGCTTCTGTTAAGTTTTTCTGAAATTAAATATTGGAGCTCTTTAAATGCAAGGTAACATGATGAATTATTTCAGTCTAAATTTTTATATTTTTAATAATTAGTATGGCTGTAGAGGGAAAGGATGGTATCAAAAGAAGGACAAAGAAGAAATAAACTTCTAAAACAAGCAGAATGCTACGTTAGGGCATGTTGGGTATTGAAATTCATCACTTTTGAGAAATCAGGCAGGGGATATGGCTCTGTGATTGAGCATGTGCATGGCGCATGTGGGACCATGGGTTCAATCCTTGGCATGCATATTTAAAAAAGGAACTTTGAGAAAATGTTATATAATAATTTTAGTTTTCTTCTTTTAATAACAACTTTGTATTGGTGAATAAAAAAGAGAATATAAAAATCGTAGGTAACTTAAAAAATTTGTGTTTTGTGGTGTGTGTGTGTGTGTGTGTGTGTATGTGTGTGTGTGTGTATTTGCATGTATAGTATCTGAATATCCAATTGTTCTCCACTATTTTTTTTTGTAACAGGGATTGAACCCAGGGGCACTTAACCACTGAGCCACATCAGTGTTGTTGTTGTTTTTCTTAAATTTTTTGTAGGTATAGATGGACAGAATGCCTTTATTTTGTTTATTTTAATGTGGTGCTGAGGATCAAACCCAGTGCCTCATACATGTGAGGTAAGTGCTCTGCCACTGAGCCACAATCCCAGCACTCTGCCACTGAGCTACAGCCCCAACCTCCCTGCCCTTTTTATGTTTTATTTTGAGACAGGGTCCGGCTAATTTGCTGAGGCTGGCCTCAAACTTGCTATCCTCTTGAGCTACTGGGATTACAGGTGTATACCACCACATTCAGCAAAAATTGTAGAAAATTTTTTTTGGGGGGGTACTGGAGATTGAACCCAGGGGCACTCAACCATTGGGGCACATCCCCAGCCCTTTTTTGTATTTTACTTAGAGACAGGGTCTGACTGAGTTGCTTAGCACCTTGATTTTGCTGAGGCTGGCTTTGAACTCATGATCCTCCTGCCTCAGCTTTCCGAGTTGCTGGGATTACAGGTGTATGCCACCGTGCCCAGCAAAAAATTATAGGTAACTTTTTTGAAGTAATGTTGGGTTGGGGGCATATAGCTCAGTGTTCAAGCCCTCATCTCACACATATGACACACAGGGTTTGATCCTCAACACTATAAAACATAAATAAATACAGTTTAAAAATATAAAAGTAATGTTTTCCTTTAAAAGAGGAAATATTTTTGTTTCTGAGCTTGAATTCTAATAAAAGTTTTGTTAATATTTGGACAAATTAAGTAATAAGTCAGTAATACCCGTACTATTCCCTTTTCAAAACAAACATGCGCAGACAAAATTAGGAACTTGCCAGGTGTGTTTTTAGTGCCCCCTAGTGTTCCCTTGCTGGGTTTTCTGTTCCTCCTTGGTGTCCCTTGCCCCGAAGCAAGCTTTGAGCCTCTGCTTCCTTCCTGTGCATGGATGGGCACAAACTCACCTAACCACTTTCACACATCAGTCATTCTCCACATAGATCTGATATCGGTAACAGAGGTTCTGCTCCATCAGATTTCCTAGAATACATTTATCATAAGTCCTGGAAGGCAAAGAGATTAAATTAGACTATGTTCATGCCTTTTTTTCTTCCCCCTAAAAACCCTTTCTTTCTCTTCATGCTCTTTTTCAATGGATATTTTCTTTGCCTTCCCAGAGAGACACTGAAGAGGAAGGTCAGTGTGAACCATTGCACCAGCCCTGTTACTAGTCCAGGTTCAAAAAGGGATGCTCACTTCTGTGCGGTCTGCAGCGATTATGCGTCTGGATATCACTATGGAGTCTGGTCGTGTGAAGGATGTAAGGCCTTTTTTAAAAGAAGCATTCAAGGTACAAGAGTATTGTTAACTGCTCTTTTAGTTTTCCAATTTTGCTTTTAAACAATTTTGCAGTGATGACCTGGTAGAAATTTCAGCAATGATCTGTTTGATACATTCTATTCACGTGAAGATTGGAGGATCATATGTGTTTGGGAGTGGGCTGGGAGGAGCCGGTATGTGGGTTGTTTCAAGTGCACAGAACTTTATCTTTGATTGTCTTGTTCTATGCCACAACCCTAAGGTCATACAGCCAACTCAAATGGGTCTTGCTCCTCCTTTTACCCCCAGGATCATGGGGAGATGTCCAGTTATAGTTTCAAAAATATAATGTTTGGAAAAGGTGCACTTGTTAGAAGGTGCAGAGGTTTAATATAGGGCACACTTAACAGGACTGACAGTGGGATGGCTCCTGAGGAAAGGAGAATAAATAGATTTTATGAAAATGGTCAGAAATCAGGAATTCAGCTGCAGCGGACTTTGAGAATTGATGAAATGCTGTCTTCTTGAATTTAGAGTTTCCTGCATGGCTCCCTGTTTTCTGCTCTGGGATTAGATCATTTCTCTAACATTCTCCAATTTCCTTCTGGGCTAGGGTTCATGTATTTGGTTTGCTAATTTTCAAAAATCACCTTTTCGTCAATTTCAAGTTGTGCATGACTGGCTTCAGGATCAGTCAGCCCAATTCTGTACACATTCTTGCCATCACTCCCTCCCATGCCAGCCCTGATTGTGCTGAAGTCTCTTTGTTTGTTGGCTGTGTTTCTTTCTTTCTCTTTGCCTCGTAATTTCTTCTTCAGATGTCCCTTCTGGGCAATGTTCTTGTATAGAGCTCCTTCCCCCCCCTACCTACCTTTCTTTCTTTTTAAATTTTGAGACAGGGTCTCT